AAGAAGGGGGTGGGGGAGTTCGGTTCTGGGGTATAGGTGTTAGTCAGGTTAGAGGTTCTTCACTTTCACTTCGCTGCTAGGCAGAAGGATGATGGCGGCAGCGTTCTTCGTCGGGCTCTTCGGTCGGGTCTGGTCCATCTCTATCCGTCTCTGTCCTGGACGTGGGTGGCCAGCTGGCTCTTCCTTGCTGGTTTCTCCTTGGTTGGGCTCCTGGCTGGGAGCTCCTTGTGTTCCCCTGCCTGACAACGGCTGGCTGGGATGTCGTTTCTCCTTGGAAGGTGGTTGTCGGCTGGAGGTCGCGGTCTGGGGTGTTGTTCTTCTTCTTCAAGTATGTCTTCTTCTTCTTCAAGTAGGTCTTCGACAGCTCCGAATGATCGGAGATAGCGGCGATGGTGAGCTTTTACCGCTCTCCTCTGGCCTTGCATGCGCTGTCTGCATGCAGCTGCCAGGTCGATGGTGCGTGGAAGAGTCGGGGTCGAGGTCAAGACTCGGGGTTCTCTCTCCCTCATCCGGTCGGCGTCGGGGCTCTCTCTCCCCTTATTCAGTGGCTGGTGCGTGGGTGCGCACGCCCGGGCGCGCCCTTGATTGGGGTGGCGTGCCCCCTCGTGGCGATGGCGGGCGTTGCTTTCCCGCTTCGGATTCGAACTCGAAAAATGGCGGGCGTTTCGCACTGGCTGCTGGGCGGGCGGGCGGCGGGCGGCGAGCGGCGGTGGTTGGATTGCGGTGGGCGTCAGCCTGTAGGCCGATGCCGGGCGCTAGCGCAAATTAGCGCAGCGCAATTTTTCGCGCTAACCGGTAGGCGCAGGCGCTGGAATTTCCTCCAGAAGCTTTTTTCTAAAAACAATTTGCCCCCCCATTTTGGATTTTCAAATTTGTTCAAAAAATTAAAATATGACCGTTTTGACGAAATCGTTGTTAATATGCAAAGTCACTCTCCAATGCCGTATCACTCTGGCGTACTGGAGAATAAATAACACCAGTCTCAACAATGCTGGCCTTCTGTTGCCAAAGGTCTGTTCCTATTTTCAGGGCCGCATAAATAGGTAGAACCGGGTATGCCTCTCTCTCTCTCTCTCTCTCTCTCTCTCTCTCTCTCTCTCTCTCTCTCTCTCTCTCTCTCTCTCTCTCTCTCTCTCTCTCTCTCTCTCNCTCTCTCTCTCTCTCTCTCTCTCTCTCTCTCTCTCTCTCTCTCTCTCTCTCTCTCTCTCTGTGTGTGTGTGTGTGTGTGTGTGTGTGTGTGCGATGGCATAGACGTCTTCCCCTTACCAACCCTGCTCCCCCCCGATCCTTTTCCAAACCGGCTCCCGCCCCAGCCCATGGGAAAAGGACCAGTACATTCCTTTTTTTTTTTTTTTAAACACATCCCCTGTAGTGCTAGTGGTGTTGATTCGAGGTACATTCCAATAATAACTCATGGAGTTTCATATAATGCAACTTTTCACGTAATTGTTTTGTCTTTGTCTGTATGACAATTTTTTGCGGGGGCCGAACGGGCCGGTACCTCCCATTTTTGCGGATTATCAAACTGGCAAGCCGTCGAAAGTTTCTTTTGGTGTTTTTGTTGCCGTTTGTAACTGCTCTCCGCCCGCCGCCCGGGCCTGCAGTGCCCTGTTATTTCCACTATTCAGAACTCGACACCGCTCTCCAGCTCAGTTGTCTGTCTTTTTTCTTTCTTTTCCCGATCATCTGAAGATATCTGGATTCGAACTTGAGTGTGTATTTCAACTGTTACAGTTCAGTTCAGTTCAGTTCAGCTCAAGGGGGGGTGTACCAACTCAGCTAGGCCAGTTAGTGACTTGTTGATTGTCCGAAAGCTGATTCTGTGTGACTGATTGATCACTCTGTGCAGGCCTTTCTCGTTTGCTACGTTCACATTCTGGCATTCATGACCAACTACTACAATTATCGAGGTACAGATCTCAGTCTAGGAATTCATCTTCTGATTCTTGTAATTTCTTATACTTTTTAGCACAGTGAAGTCATAAAAGAGAGAGAAAACAACAACAACAACAACAGAGAGAGAGAGAGAGAGAGAGAGAGAGAGAGAGAGAGAGAGAGAGAGAGAGAGAGAGAGAGTCTGACAAAATCGGAAGAAAGCTGAAAAGCAACATAAGAATGACAGAAAGATCAAGACTCATGTGAATATTGTGAAGGGATTTTTGATCTGAAGTCTTTGGTATCATCATTTTGCAAAGGACAAATTTGAAAGTTGGGCGGCGGCGGAGCGCTACCGGGAGCGCTCCGCCGCCCGGCGCTTGGACGCGACGGCAGGCCTCGTGGAGAGAGCGGGAATGAGGAGCTGCGGAGCGCTGTGACGGCAAGATCGACGCGAGGAGGAGGCGGGCGGACGTGACGGTGGGTCTTGCGGATGAGCAGGAGTGAGGAGCGGCGGGAGCGCTGGGATGGAGAGGTTCACGTAAGGAGGGAAGGGAGAAAGTGTGTCTGGGCGTTGGGCAGAGCATCTCACACCAAAGGTCTTAGTGGAAGAGCAGGAACACGGTGGGTGGGAGAATAGGGGAAAGAAGGGTTACAGGTGGGAGGGAGAGGGTTACTAGGAGGTAGGGGAAGGATGGCATCTGCAACGTGGACTCCCCCTCATCTTTTCGGACTACCTGCGAGGGGCGGCTGGCGGGCTCAGCGGCTTATTCTCGCGACGTGGTTTGGCATGCTGCAACGACAATCCTAACTGCGGTCCTAATATCATCATCGTTCGGTCTTATTGGTTGGTTGAATGGTTGTCAATCACAGGCGACCGAGTTGCTGAGAAGCCGATGAAGCGAGGAGGTGAGGTTTGGAGAGAGGGGGGGTGTATTCAGGGTTTGTTAAGGGTATGGTGTTCCTCTTCTGTTTGGCCTTGATAGTGTTTGTTTGTTTTGATATATGTCTGATTGTGTAGCTAGTACTGCTGAACATAACTAACAATCCTGATTCTGTGATTTCTAGTTCCTTGAGATGGAATTTAAAATCGATTGGTAGTTCGCATTTTTTCGATTGTTTTGTGTCGGATTTAGATTCGCTGTTTTTTTCACACATATTCTGATCGCTGTCTTGTTCTTGCCAATTGGTAATTCTTGATTACTATCAGAACGATTCCTAGGACCTTGGGGTTCTAGGAATCCAAATTGAAAGTCCCTTCGAACATTACACATTACTTTCCTTTGATTTACCATAACAACGATTCCTGGGATTTTGGTGTTCTAGGAATCTGGATCGAAAGTCTTTTTGGACATCACAGTTGATTCCTTCATTGCTTTCAATTCCATTTCTAAATCTATGTCTCTCGAAGTCATTCTTCATTTGGAATAATTCCCAATCTAAATTTCAGATTTGTTGTTCGCTTTAGGTCTTAGTTAGAATTCCTGAATTCTGCTTTTTATTGTCATTTTCGAATTAGGTTTCTGAAGGATTTCTGATTCCAAAAATCGGGGGACAGAAGTTGGTGGAGGGAAGAAAGGGATTCTCAACAGAGGAGGGCATTCGGCCAGGGTAAGCAGGTTAGAAGGACGGCGCTGGGACACTCAGGACGGTGCTGGAGCTTGTGCTCTGTGACCCGGGGGAAGCTTGAGGCCTGCGAAGTTATGCTGAGTGCATAACCAAACCGTCCGACGAGGCTGGTGCCGGGGTATTGACCCTGTAACCTGTTTGGGGCTTGCCACTATAGGAACCGTCGAGGGAGGAAGGCACTTCCTGACCGTTAGAACGAGGTTGGTCGGTATTGGGGAGGGTTGTGGTGCCCTGTTACCCTAGCAATAGGGGGTAGGAGATCAATTGAGTTCTGTTACGAAGACTGAAAGCCTGGACTGACACTTCGTCTGCTGAGGGGGGATTTTAGGATAGTAGGTAGTTTGTTTCGCCCCCCCGGTTTTTCCCAATTTCCATGGTTGTTAATCATAGTATTAGTTAGTCTTGTTTTATTACCATTTTCCAAATTAGGTTTCTGAAGGATTTTTAATTTCAAAAATCGGGGGACAAAAGTTGGTGGAGGGAAGAAAGGGATTCTCAACAGAGGAGGGTATTAGGGCAGGGTAAGTAGGTTAGAAGGACGGCGCTGGGACGATTGAGGCCTGCGAAGTTACGCCGAGCGCATAACCAGTCCGTCCGACGAGGCGGGCCCGGGGCATTGACCCTGTAACGTGTTTGGGGCTTGCCGCTACAGGAACTGTCGAGGGAGGAAGGCACTTCCTGACCGTCAGAACGAGGTTGGTCGGTACTGGGGAGGGTTGTGGTGCCCTGTTACCCTAGCAGTAGGGGGTATGAGATCAATTGAGATCTGGTACGAAGACTGAAAGCCTGGACTGACACTTCATCTGCTGAGGGGGGATTTTAGGATAGTAGGTAGTTTGTTTCGCCCCCTCAATTTCTCCAAATTTTTATGGTTGTTAATCATAATATTAGTTAGTCTTGTTATAAATTTCTAAAGAATCTCGAATGTCCCAAACAGAGTGGGGTGCTTAGCGGTCCTAGGAATGTTTTTTAGGATTTTGGGGTCCCTGCAAACTCTTCCTTGGCGATTCCAACGCTGTTAAACTCAGTGTTATGTGGTCGTCCGATGCCGGAACGATGCTGACCGGTGCTAGGGTGTTGCCCTGTAACCTGCGATGCAGGAGCATGAGGTCTGCAGAGAGATCTGGGGAAGTCTGGGGGGGGACTTTCCACGGTATGACCAAGGGATGCTGCCAGGACGACGCTGGTCGGAGCTGGGGTGAGCTGCGTTGCCCTGTAACCCAGCAGAAGTAGGGGTGTGAGACCTAGAAGAGATCAGTAGAGAGTATGCCAATTTTGGAGAACGTTGGAAGGGTTTGTGTGTGGATTTCGAATTTTTTAGAACAATCTTACGACCTCTGTGACCCATTCTCGTGCCTCTGAAGAACGACGGTAAGAGTTTTCAGATTCTTCATAAAGAAAATAAGGAGAGCTGGAGAAGATGGTGGGTTATCACGTGTCCTACCAGTGAGGGGGCTAGCTGGTGGGATGGGAGTATGGCATAGCAGCAGCAGAGATGGTGGCTTTGCTGCAGTCAGTCTTGCCGGAGGGTGGTAAAGTGGCTTGATGGGGATTTTTCTGAGTTGTTTCTGAGCTCTTTTTCTGAGTTGTTTCGAATTTTTGCTTATCATGATGTTGTCATGGACATGTCTGAAGTAGTTGGGCCCCGGTATCCCATGTTCCAAAAGCCCAAGATTTTCTGGTAGGAATTTTTCTGATGAAGTTTTCTGAACACACTCGTAATGGGACGTTGGGCCCGGTTCCCAGTTTGTGCCAATTTGTGAGGATATGGTTGTATCTATGGGACGCTGAACCCGGTTTCCAGCAGGTGTTGCTCCCCACTAATAGATCGAGCCTTGTTTTTTTCAAAAAAAAAAAAAAAAAAAAAAGTTGCTAATTAAATTAAAAATACATTAAAATTAATTAAAATAATATATATATATTATATATATATATATATTGAAATGAGCCCAGACGTGATGATACTCGTCAACATTACCAGTCCATATGATTATCGATCTGCTGATGAATGACAAACAATTGTATGTGATGATAGAATGAGGTGAGAATCATACACAGACGAAGGAGGAGAGAGGGGGAATAGACAAAGGAGAGAGAAGAAGACAACAGCCCACTTCTGCTTCGGGTCCCTCCTCCTCCTCAACACCTCATCAATCAATAGTCCGATTACAATGTCTGAAGTTTTTCCTCAATGTGCCATGTGGCACGTCAATCTGTCCTCATCAGCAATGGAGAGTATCGTCATCAACCAGGTACGTAACCTCGATAACCACAGTCTTGATCCCCTTCCGAAGTGACGAAGAATCAGAACAGTCTCCTCAATCTCGCAGCCCGCCACGTCATCAATCATATACAAGTGGCAGCGGCCACGTCAGCAACGGCGCGTGGCAGCTGCCACGTCAGCATGCCCAGAAGACCATCGCCAACCAGCACCTTGCCAGCCAGCAGCGCCTTGCCGTCCTCCTCTGCCAGCATATAGCCGGCGTCAAGCCAATGTCGCAATGTCGCAGCATAGCAACAGCGTCAAGTCCACGCGTGAAGTCAGCATTCACGCAAGACTGAATGTTCTCCAGCCAGGAAGTCAACTCTTAAATAGCGTGGATGCGGGGTCTGGACCCCCGGTGCTGAAGTCCTGCACCGTCCAGATCTCGATGTGAAGGAGGGCCCAGATTGGCCAGAGACTGTATTCCTCCCGCCCTGAATGCTGTCTGGGTACCTGCACACAACAAGTGAATGTATCCGACGGTAGGCCTGGGCGCGGTACCTTTGACTCTA